TGTTTAAAGTTTTGAGCCTATTAATAAAATATTATATGTCTATCTTTCTTTCTTAGATAATATGAGTACTTTTACATATTAAGTTTATGAGCAACTAGGCTTATATAGACTTGGACCTAGTCTTTCTGTAGTCATGCACATGGAAGAGACACTGCTGCAAGCTGATTGGGTTGTATCTTGGAGTTGACTAGTTTCACCAATACCTGCACGAAGGAGAGGACTATCAGTTTTAGGTCAATGTGTTTACACACGCCTCAACAATCAGGCCAGCACTTTTTTACCTATTTTATTATTATTGTTTTACTTCTTACTTATATTGTTGAGCTAATATTAATATTATATTGCTCAATTATTTATCTTGTTAAATCATATACATTGTTATATCCATATTGGGCAAATGATGAATTATCAGTTTAATGAAGAATTATTCTTTGATTATTCATTGGTGTTATTGTTTATTAGTTTAAATCATTGTGTATGAATGTTGTATTTATATTTTTTCTACAAATATGTGGAATTTTCACAACATATGATCACTCAGAATTGTGTATGATGCAATTTCAGGCATTGCATCTTCCACATATATATTTAGCATGGGACCACTCACTAGAAGCACCACTCTAAATCCAGATTCTCCCGTCATCCACAAAAGTTCATTCTTGTTAAATTCGGTGGTATAATATATGACTTTACCACTTATGTTTGAAGGTGAACGTTCTCGTAACTCATTTATAAATGATTTATACGTTATTGTTGTTGTTATCATAAAAGGTCAATGACACCGCCGATGTATGTAATTTCTCCATTATCATTTTTGTCAATTTTTCCATCAAATCGACAAAAGCATGCAATTTGTCTCTCATCCATTTCTCCAACTAGTTTTAAAATTGACTCATTAGTGAAAAAAATAAAAATAAAGTTCAAAAAAATAATGAAATAGAAAACAAATAAATATCATAATTAAATAATTTAATTTAGAGACATTAGCATGCAAACATTTAGAAGCAGAAAAGAAAATAAAATTACTTCGAGTAGGTGTCTTGCTATCATATTGCCACCTACCTTCCACTACTAAAGTCTTCAAAGTCACACAACAGGCTTATAAATTAACTGATAGTATGACTCCAATTTAAGGTGCAGAATTGATGAAACGTCACATAACAGACCCTAGGTAATCAGATCGTAGACTAAGAGTTCGTTCACAACAAGAATGTCTATTAGTGGTTGCTACCCAGTAAAAATTCCAAAAGTGTGAAATATGCATGTTAAAGGCATATATATACATCCAATAATCATATCATTTATTTCAAATTTCAAATTTATTATACAATTACATATAAGAACAGTTCAATTCTTACATGATTGCTCCAAATGAATGACCTTCCCAGGCTAGAGTGCTATTTTAAAATCACCATATTATACTAAGATATAGAAGCATAACATCAAACAATTCAACTAACCCAGCCATGTTCCTGTTTCTTTAATTTGGCGACATGCATCTGAGTTTCTATTAAATAGCTGCTAACTTAAATACAGAGTTGTATAATGATAAAAATCAGCATATTACATGAGTGGTGGTGAATTATTATTTTTTTTAAATGTCTTACTTCGCTTATATATATATATATATATATATATATATATATATATATATATAATTCAACTAACCCAGCCATGAACCTGTTTCTTTAATTTGGTGACATGCATCTGAGTTTCTATTAAATAGCTGCTAACTTAAATACAGAGTTGTATAATGATAAAGATCAGCATATTACATGAGTGGTGGTGAATTATTATTTTTTTTAAATGTCTTACTTCGCTAATATATATATATATATATATATATATATTAAAAATGATTGCAGTTTATTTCTTATTACTCGCAAAATAAAACAATCCTCATCACTAAGGTCATTACAACAATTTTTCTTCCAATTTCCTACATTAAACATTCAAAACCCTTAATGAGATACAAATAGCTTGCTAGCAAGGAAAATGATTCGATAGCGATCTCATTTATAAGTATAAAACTAAACTATTACTCAACAACTTGTGAGGTGGACCTTACACACTACTCGTACCACTAATTCCATAGTATACTTTTAAGGAAAAAAGGATCCAAGAAAAAAACTTGAAAGAGAATAAATGAGCACTCAAAACTGTAAACACCCTAGAGCATATGGCTTCCAAGTAATATAAGAATATAAATTGTTTATTCAATGGAATTTATTTTGGTTAATTTTAGTATAAAGCTTGAGTTTGTAATTTTATTTAACCTTTAGCTAAAAAAATTAAAAGTTATTTAGAATTGGTTACATCTAAATCTTTTTTTTTTTTCCTAAATGAAGAAAACAAATTATAAATGGAACAGTATAGTACAAGGCAAAAAATGAGGGCATAACCTAACAATAGACACAAGAACCCTAACAACAACAAGGACCTAGTTAGATCAAAAACTTTGGGTCAACCCAAACATATATTTACCTTCTTTGAAAATTATTTCAAATATCAACAATTTGCATCTATATAATGTCACAGACCTAGAATACAAGTTGTGAATTGAAAATTATATGTGTAAATATGCTCATAAATTGGATTGAATATGCAATCTTGGATTGAATGTGCAAAATAGATGAAAACCCCAAAAGAAAACATATAAACCCATATCAGAATCACAGTTTATGCATAAAAATTAGATGGAAAATTACCTCAAACCCTAGATTCATTCTTGAGAGAGAGTGTAAAGGAGAGAGAGACAAACCCTAGGTTTAGCTTGATTCAAAACCGAATAGATTGGATCATCGAGAAACAAAGTAGAGAAGACAGAGGAACAGGGTTGCTGCTTCGCTGGTTAGAGAGATAGAGAACTGGTTGCGCTTCGTTGTTACAGAGAGAGGGAGAGAGAGAGGGCGCACGATAAGGGTTTATTGGCCATATATTGCTTAAATTGGATGAGTAAATAAAAAGGGCAATATAGTAAATGTGTTAAAATAGGGAGAATGGTATTTTAGGCAACATAATATTTTAAATAGGAAAAGTTCATGCGCCATGTCATCCTTTTAATCAATCTCATTTTCTTGAAAGTACGAGACTTTGACTCAACCATTAGTAAATATGGAGTCCTGACCCCATTTATATGTAAAAATCCCAAATTGCATAGCGTATATTTATTTATTTATTTATAATGTAGTTTTAATAATACAAATTTACTTTTTAACTTATTCCGTAATTTTATTGTATTTCTGACTCATTTTTAGATAGTAATTTACTTTTTCTTATAATTCTAGTTTATTTCTAATTTTTCCTAAATAATAATTTTATTATTTAATATAGAGTCTTAAATAAGATGAATTATTTTTTTACTTTATTTCTCTCTCGGACATTAATTTGGGGTCATCCAGGTTTTTTATTGCTTAGGTTGTATTATTTAAGGGTTATTTCGTAACGTTTTTGTTTATATGTTCCTCGTTTCTTATTTATATTTCTTAGCGTTTCTATTTTTTTGAAGTTTCTTTCTAAATAAAATCAGTATTTAGTAACGTTCATTTGTTTATTGAATTATGTAAAAAATAAACAAGAAACATTCTTGATTTGCACAAAGTAATCAAGATCCAATCCACTGTTGTGAATTTTTCAAACCTTTAACTAGAAAAAAGAAAAAAAGAAAAAAATAGCGCACTCTAAAAAAGTAACATTATATTTATTGCCCAATTACTAAGCTATCAATCACTCATATATCTATGCTTCGATTTGGTCAATTTCTAAAGTTTCAATCATAATAAGAAAGAGAGAATCAGACATGATTAAGAGACAGAAGGTGGGAGTGAGTGACTGGCCAAATTTATAGGGTTTTGATTCCGAGAAAAGTAAGCATCAAACACAATGATAATGATAGAGGTTAACTTTTGAAAAAAAAAAGCAAAAAAAAGGATTGAGAAAGGAGAACTAGTAGTTGCCTTGTCCTTCGTTGAGTGAAAACTACCATCACAACTTATGATGCAATTTATTCGTTTTGTAAAGTATCTCTCCATTAATTTAAGGTCATCAATCAACTGCACATTTCCATCAACATCATGGATAGGGGGTAATTATATTACGAATATTTTTTTTTCATGACAAGAAACACACTTATATTCTTACTTTTTGCTCCTATAAAGAATTAAACCCTCAATCTTCCATTTTAATAAGTGAGGAGGAGGTACCACTAAGTCGCACGAGACTTGGTCAATTATAAAAATGAATAATACGGGAGTCCAATACATTCAATTATTATTATTTTATTAATATATGAATGGAAGATGTTGTCATCCTAACTCACATAAAAATAGTGAAATGTAATTTTTGAAATTTATATCATATTTCAATCTTTATCTAAACAACCATTGAATGCACCAACACATATATATATATACACACACCTAAAAAGTATAAATACAAACATGAGACACGAATACGACACATTACAGATACAACAATATGACAAATCTTAAGAAATAAGAATATGTTATCCAATCCAAATAATGGTTAAATGCAAATATATATACACACACCTATAAATCACGGATATAGAGAATACGTCACAATCTAAAAATGTCCAAAATAAAAAATATATATTATTTATAATAATATTTTTTTTCTCATTTTATTGAAAAAATCCTGAATTAAATCATTAATTTAAAGCGTATATTATTTTTAATTAATTAATAATATATTTTAAATTACATTGAATCTCATTTTTTCTAATTTTTTTAAAATAAAACTATCCCACCATATCTTGAAAATATCCACGTGATTTAATTCTAAAAAAATAATTCCAAAACGTGATTTAATTCTAAAAAGTGTCCAAGATATGAAACATAAATCATAATTATAAAAAATATGAAGTTGAAGTTATCATATTTAAAAAAAAACAATTTAATTTAATTTTTATTTCTATTATCACGTTAATTACTATATTAATTACTGAAATATACCCTAGGTTTAGAAGGGGCTCTGCATCTAGCTGTCGGTTGGGAAAATATTACACACTGGCTCTACATCTGGCCGCCTCTAGGGTTAGGGAAATATTACACACTGTCTATACATCTGGCCGCGTCGAGGGCTTGGAAAATATCACACGCACAGATTTACTTTCTTCGTCTTGGCCGCCACTCACCATTGTCTAACCGGAGTCTTCTCACCATTTTACCTTTCGATTGTGTCTTGCGCCGGAGTCTTCTCGTAATCGTCGGAACGCAAGCGCCGGCGTCTTCTTTCGTCGTCGTCCGAACGCAACCTCTTCGTCGGACTCAACAGTAAAGGTACACTCCCTTCCCCAGAAAATTGTTACGATCGATCTAAAGATTCCTCCTTCTCTCCTGATTGAATTGAATTTATTTAATCCTTCAACCGGAAAGGGTTTAAATTAAATTTATTTAACCCTTCAACCGGAAAGTGTTGCATAATTTAAGTATGCAGATCAGAAAATCCCTAGTTAATTCACTTCTTGAAATCATTTTTTTTTCTCTCTCTCCCCCTTCTATCAATCTTCCATCATACATCAATTTGTAAAAGCAATCCCTGCAAGTCTTTGATATGTGAATATAAATTCATGTAATTTGCAAATCGGTAACAAATTGCTCTAATAGTCAATTTTGACTGTCATTCGATATTTGACTATAAATTCTTGTTTCCTAACTGGATGTCTCTTCTATTTTAAACACTAAACTGAATGTCTCAAGTTTCCTAATTCAATATTTTTCTTATTTAGTGTTATGGCTTACAAAGGAAAAATGAAGATGGATGCTGGATCATTTTGCATACCCAAGAACCTGACTCCTCCAGGGGAGGATGCTCATTTTATTTGTTCTGAGAAGAACACAATTGGAGTTGCAGATGGCGTTGGAGGTTGGAGGAAGAAGGGTGTGGACGCGGGCCATTATGCGCGACGATTAATGGCTAATACTGTGAGAGAAATTGATGATCAAACTGAAGGACCTATTGATCCAATGAGTGTCTTGTATGAAGCTTTCTTCCAAACTAAGCTCAAAGGATCATCCACTGCATGCATTATAACCCTCACAGGCAATGTATGTCATCCATCCTTTTGCTCCTTCCTTGTTATATATATGCTTTCTTTTTGTTCTCTCAAGGCAAAAGGATATATTTTTAACTAATTTGCAATCTTTGTTTTTAATTATTGCAGAACTTGCATGCTGCTAACATTGGAGATAGTGGATTTTTGCTGCTAAGAGGTGGTGAAGTTGTATACAAATCACCAGTGCAGCAGCGTAGATTTAACTGCCCATATCAGCTTGGAAGGAGAAATGATTCCCCCAGCTCAGCGCAGGTTAGTGCTATTATTAATCTGTTGTATTTTAGGCTCAACATTAATACTGGGTCAAATTGGGATTGTCCGCTGAAGAAGACAGTCATTAGAATACTAGTTGCATATATAACATATATAGTTCTTTTAATTTTAACATTTTGATTTGGTACTAATTATAAATATTTGGTCTACAGGAGCTCACTGTTTCAGTTAAACTCGACGATGTCGTTGTTGCTGGAAGTGATGGGCTGTTTGACAATATGCATACAAATGAAATTGAAGAATTGGTGAAACAATGTATGGAAGAAGAGAGCACCCCACAACAATTAGCTTGGTCTCTAGCATGGTTTGCTCATAGTTGTTCTCTCGACAAATTAAATTCTAGTCCATTCGAAATAGCTGCTGAAGAGGCAGGAATGGAATACATAGGAGGTAAAGTTGACGACATCACTGTCATTGTTGCTTATATCAGACCAATGGACTGCTTCTAACTTTCTTCAGCAACAAAAAGAAAAAGAGAAAAAAAAAAAAAAAAGAAGAAGAAGAAGAAGAATGCTAATACTATATATAACACGACAGTATAGGAGTTTTTGCAGAGAAGTTCCAAGTGAATTTGTGCATATGATTAAGTTGATTCGTGTAATTGTTGTTTGGTCTTTGTGGATATTTACAATTGCAGAAATGTATCAAATTACCATTTTTTCTTTAATTAGATGTGAATTTTTTTTTTTTTTTTTTGTGATGGTATGATATATCCTTGCCCATTTTTCAGAATGTGAGATGTGTTGATGCTCTTGTTTTGCTTCATTGTATATCTACTCTTTATGGGTTATTTGTTTATTTATTTTACTGTGTGGAGATTTAGTAGGAATTGCCATTCCAAGTTGAGTGGCTCTATATGTGTTAAGCAAGGAATACAAATAATAGGGGCTGTAACTATTTGATTCTAACTTTACAAGAATTCTTTAACAAATTAGTGCAATTAGTTCTGACAGTATCTTCAGGAGATTGCTAATCCAATCATTAGCAATATTCAAGCCAAAAATGACTAGTAAAGTAATATATTGCACAAATGATAATCGTAGTGACTGGTTAAGTAAGTTGCAAAGAGTAATAATATATGTTAAAAAGAGAAGTTGAATAAGGATAGTCTAAACCTGTTTAATACATTAAATAGCACCCTCTTCTGATGTCAAACTCCAAAACTGAATTGGTCCAAAGACTACAAAGTACAAACCATCCTTCCCATGCTGTTTCATCCCGTCCCTTCCTTTTTAATTGGCTTTGGTGATTTCAATCACATAAGATGGAAAAATAAAGTCATAGTTTAACATCTCCCAGCAAGTAATAAATCACAATAAATAAAGTAAACATGGATTGGTACACCAAAATTATGATATACTTATGCACTCATTCTAATTATGATGAGGAACAATTTTGTTTATATGTGCATAAAATTGCAATTAACCTTGCCTGAGTATTACACACACACGCACAACTAACTGGCCTGTAACAAGAACTGTGATTTTTTTTTTTTTTTTTCCTTTCTTTTATTTTTTTTCCTTTTTTCTTTTTTGTTTAGTTTTCATGAACTAAAAGTTGTTTAGGATGGGATTTTAACCAGGTTCTGAGAGGATGTGTTAGTTTTCCAGGCCATCAAGTTGATGCCACTGGATTGGTCACATATATGTGCTCATTTAACCCATATTTTGCCATTCCCATTTATTTTGGATTTCACTTACTGATTAGCACCATTTTGTTTCTTATTACATGTTTATACAGATAAAATTTACTTGTGGACTTCTTTAGTCACCACATGGTAGAGATTGTAGGAGGCCCCTTGCATTCTTTTTATTTAAACTATGATATGCAAGACCTCTGTAGCCTATATATTTGTATAAAATTTGAGTGCTCTATATGTGTTCCTGAAAACCCCCAATCGGTGTTTATTTTGATTCCTTTTTGTGTATACCTGTTTGAAGGTTGGAGTAGTAAATACACCTTTCTATTTCATTTATTCATTCGATTTCTATTTCTTGTAAACTTGTCAAACTTGGGAGCAGAAAAGACTAACATTTATCTCCAATTTCTCCTTTCTCTTCGTGTTTTTTTTATTTTTTATTTTTTGATTCAGTATTCTTTATCAAAAGTGTGAACTTCTCCTAGGGCTTTCCAGCACTTGTGCCTTATTAACTATATGTACGTGTCCTAGGAACTTAGTAAAACCTAAAATTATATCTCTGAATGAGTTTTTGCTAGTGTTATTTATTTGTGGTGCAAGGCGGTCTCAAGTTGGTGGATGAAACCTATCCAATCTCATAAGCTCTTTCTAGCAAATGTATAAAAGGGGAATAAACATATTCTAATAGTATCTCCTCTTTAGTGCTCATAGATGATTGGAAAATAGACAAATACATCCAAGAATCTCTGAAAATATATACCATCATCAACATCATCAAGAATCTATACTGAGCATATCTTACTACGAAGGCATCGAAAACAAAAACTTCTATTTATTCTTCCCCAAAAGCTGACTTCCAATAACTATGAAAATTGCAAGAAACCTTATTACTGTGTTTACCTTTCAAACTCCTTTCAACCATGAAGAATCGATCTGCCACTGAGCGGTAACTTCTGTAATGGAGATTTCTCCTATATGAAGTTGCAGTTTTAGCCTCTGTTTGAGTTCAAATATCAGGCAGTGGAATGACTGCTTCGAAAGCTTCCACAAGAAGAGACACTTTCCTTTTCCGTGCTGGAGTTAGTTTGGTGACGATATGTTGAAGTGCATGCTCGAGCATCCATTGCTCAGCTTTCTTCATCTCTTCCATCATTTGACACCTTAGATCGACATTCTCTGCCTCTCGGTCAGGCTTCATGGTCAGATGTCGTGGTACCTGATGATTGCATCTCATTATTTTTTGCAATGCCTTGATGGATCTCTTGAGAAGGATTACCTTCTTCAGCTTGCTCCAGTTCTTGGGCTTTTGCTGTTCAGATTTGTTTCCCACCTTTAATGCTGCCCTCTCTTCTACTGTGGTGGTGATATTGTCAGCTGTAGACTCTGTCTTTTTGATCCAATAATATACCGATTCCCACTTCACTTCTGTCATATTCTCTGAAGCCCTTTTTGGCAGAATTGGTGGAAGTTAAGATGCTTAGCTCCCCATCTTCACAACGATTTTTTTGTTAGAGCTCCTGGTTTGAAATCATGTCACTAGTAATTGATTGATTATCAGATGAGTCATCTTGAATTTCTGGAAGAACTGTTTCATCAATTGATTCTGGTACAAGTTTGACAGCATCACTCTGGCTAAATTCAGTCCTTTTGACGTCTTGCATCATGATTTGCATAATGATTTTCCTTTCCCGAATCACAATTTGTTTTAGAGTAATCATCACAAGAACCAATTCTTATTTCAGGCAATGTGTTGCCATCATCTGCTTGTTCTTCCTCATCGTCTCCATCAAGAAACAGCTGGGTTCCAACTTTTGCAGCAATACCTGATGTTACATGCTGATCTATCAGGTGCCACATCCTGATATTCTTCTGCTTGTCCAACTGGGACTTGCATGCTACTTTTGTGGATCAGAATCTCTAGTCTTCTCTTCCCCGCCTGCAGTTGTTTGCTCCAGTCTTTCATACTCAGAAGCTGAAGAAGCAACATTGTTACTTGCCACTGGTTCTCCATTATCATCTATGATTGGGCTTTCATTTATATAAGATGGTGGACAACTTAAACAATCAAGCTCCACCGTTTTACCACTCAATTCAGAGCCAGTTTTGAGAATCCCCAAGTTGAAACTCGAAACTGTATCTTTGATTCTTCATGGACTTCTTTTTCATCCACAAGAACTTTCAAACCGGTGAAGCTCAAAGTGTCATCTGATTGAGAAACTTCAACTGCGGACGTGCAAATAATCACTCACATCAGAATGTTCATCTGCGACGATGGAATTATCATCCCCATTATCAAGATTGGATACAATAATTTCCTCCGTCTTCGTGCCTGGATCAGTGGCTCCAGAAACAGATGTATAACATTCATCACTAATAGCCTTTGTCACCTTAACATGCTGTTCTTCTGATGGTGGAACCACTGTTTCAAAAGCTTTTACAAGCAATGCCACTTTTCTGAGTTGGAGCCAGTTCACTAACTACCTGCCGAGTTGCATAATCAAGCACTCGGTATTTTTCTTCTCTTCCATAACTTGATGCCTTGGACTGACAAATTTTAAATTGGAAATCTAATTAATTAGTAGAATAATTTTAAATTGGAAATCCAATTGGTATTTTATTTTAGTTAAAACTAAAATTAGTAGAAGAATTCTTACATTGACGAATTTTAAATTAGAAATCCAATTAATTAGTAGAAGAATTTAAAATTAGAAACCCAGTTGGTATTTTATTTTTGTTAAAATTAAAACTAGTTATTGGAAGACTAATTAAATTAGTTGAAGAATTTTAAATTGAAAATCTAATTAAATTATTAGAAGAATTTTAAAATGGAAAGACAATTAGCATTTTATTTTAGTTAAAACTGAAATGAGTAGAAGAGTTTTCATATTAACAGATTTTAAATTGGAAACTAAATTGACTTAGTAGAAGAGTTTTAAATTGGAAATTCAATTAGTATTTTATTTTAGATATCATTAAAATTAGTATTTTAATTAAAATTAAATTCAGTAGAAGAATTTTAATACAAGTCAATGATAAGTATGGATATAATCTTATAATTATATAGATATAGATTTAGATAGAATATTTGTCAATTTATAAATAGAATTTGAATAACAGGAAAACATTAAATTTAATAAAAATTTTGACAACAAATTTGCTTCTGATTTTGGTTTTCTTATTTGTAAAACATCATCCATGCCTTGTTATCGTGGAGGTAATTTTAAGCTTTTCACGTCTTGAATCACATCAATATATTCGTTGCAATTGAAACCCTAGGTTACTGTATTGGTTGTTCTTATGTTCAATTTGCTTTTTTCCTTCATCCATCTAATTGGTTTGATTTAAAGTCTCACTCGTGGCATTTTATTCTGTTGTTTACTGTTCAATTATCTTTTTTCTCTGGTAAATTTTTTTTTTTCAATTATCTTTGGGTACTGTATATATCCCCCTTATATGTTTAATTCTTTTCATTGTTTTCCATTTTCATGTTGTCAAATTTTGTTGAACTGTTTTTCGTTTTGTCAATTTAATCATTACATTATGAGGCCTTCTGCATTTTTGTTTTAAAAAATATCTCATTTATTTTTTATGCTGCTTGGGAGCACTTAATTGGTTGCTTGAATTTGGAATTAGGAAAAAATTAGTTAAATTTTTGAACTAAATTTCCTCCGATCCCAAATCCAAAGCACCGATTTGGTGCTATCAAACGCAACATTATTGTATTCCTCATGAGTAAAGAATTGTCAGTGATATCTAATTATATACTTTTGGAATGTTCTACATATTAATCCCTTATGTTGCAATGTGTTTTTTGATCCTTAATATGTGTATGTACACTTATTTCTTGCAGCATGATAGACTGTAATATTGTTCATATCTACATGATGCTGCTTTGCTTGATACATTTGACCTTTTGTCTCTTTGTCCCTCTGTTCATTGAAGTGTGGTTCTCTATTTCATTATATGTGGCTTTGTCTTTGTAGGAAGTGGGTCTCAATCTTCCGGTTCATCACCCTTTTCCGGATGGGGAGGAAGTAGTTTTGGGTCTCGATATTCTGGTGTGTGATCCTTCTTCAACGAAAGCAAAAGCCTCAATGTAAGGATTTGGCTTTCTCACTTATTGTTTGATAATTGCTATCAAAACCTTCATATTTGAAAATTCGTAGACATATATATAGACATAATATTCCCAAAGTGCATTTTTTAAAAATTTATTTATTATTATTTTTCATAAAGTGGTCATTATATGCTGCCATCTCGGCTAAAAGCTAGCGAATTCTTTTTGGTTCATCTCTTTAGCATATGTGGGAAAGTGCTTAAACATCTTAGAACAAAAGGCACATTGGTCATTGCAGTTCATGCATAATCTATTTTGAAGTTTTCGTAACTTACATTTGGTGTAGCTTGTGTAATGTCTTATGTTTTGTAATTTTTTGTGTGTAATTATTGATTGATAGCCAAACCCCAATTAGTTCAGAAAATGAGTTTTTGAGTTGAGTTAAATTTATTGACTCTTTAGCAATGGAATCCAAGTTGATGAATGCCAATTGTTTTTTTTTTTTTCTCCTTGATAAGTAAGATTTTATAGAAGGCTCTCAAAAGGGGAGCGCTCCCAAAGAAGACAACCACCGTCCAAGACGACACTATAGCTTTAAGCTATCCACAAAATCCAAAAGAGAATCCATTGAATTACAGTCTTGCCCATTTACCCAAAAGAATAAAGAAGTAATAATACTGTATTTAATAGCCCAAATGGGAGAGTGGGAGACTCCTTTCCCTAAAAAAATCTCCTATTTCTCTCACGCCGCACACCCCACCAAATACAAAGGGGAGTGGCCCTCCAACCATCTCTGACTCGGCTCTCCACTGTACACCCTTTCCAATTCTCTAAGAAGTCTACCGTGGATTTTGAGAACACCCATGGAAGACCAAAAGCACCCAAAAGCATAGACCAAACATCCCTAGCCTCCGAGCATTGAATAAGAAGATGGTTGACAGATTCACCCGTTGTCTTGCACAAGCAACACCTGTTGACCACAACATGACTTCTTTTTCTAAGATTATCAACAGTTAGGATGCTTCCCCAAGCAGCGGTCCAAAAGAAGAAAGCAACCTTCAGTGGAGCTTTTGGCCTCCAAATGGCCTTCAAAGGAAAAATGTGGCCTATGCGCTCCAACATAAAATTGTAGAATGACTTAACCTCGAAAATCCCTCTTGAGGTATCCACCCACAACATCTCATCCATGCCCACTCCGACCACCACCTGGCTATAAATGAAGGCTAGGAAGTTTGACACTTCCAAAAGTTCCCAATCATGGAACTATCGATGGACCTGCACATCCCAAGTCACCCTCCCATTATTGAGACAATAATAGTCAGCAACCATAGCATCTTTAAACACAACAATCTGGTAAAGACGCGGGAATTTGAATGCTAAAGCCAAATCCCCACACCATATGTCTTCCCAATACCTGACAATCCTTCCGCTTCTAACCTTGAACCGAATACGTTTAGAGAATTCATCCCACCCTTTACGAATTTGCTTCCAAGAGCCCATTCCTGCTGGGATTCTAGCCTCGTTTGAGTGCCACCCTCCGTCTCCCTCCCATAATGACAAGCGATAACGCGCCTCCAAAGCTTGGCCCTCTCTCTTCCAAACCTTCACAACCACTTGCCCAACGCCTTATTAAACACTTCCAACCTTCGAATTCCCAAACCCACTTTATTAATAGGGGAACACACTCTTTCCCAATTAACCAAGTGGTACTTGAACTCATCTCCTACCCCACCCCACAAAAACTTCCTCTGAATCACGTCAAGTCTTCGAATAACTGACTTAGGCATCGGAAAGAGCGACATAAAATAGGTCGGGAGATTTGAGAGCGTGCATTTCATAAGAGTAACCCTCCCCCCTTTGGACAAATATTGTTTCTTCTAACCTGCAAGCCTCCTCTCGAACCTCTCAACAATTGGATCCCACACAGCAACTCTCCTTGACGAGACTCCCAAAGGGAGTCCTAAGTAGGAGATCGGGAGACAGCCAGCACTACACCCCAGAGTATCAGCCAAGCCTTGAACTTCCTAATGTTAATCTTCAACCCTGAAACAACTTGAAAGCAGGCCAACACACACCGTAAATACCTGAACTGAAGGAGGCTAGCATCACAAAAGACAATAGTGTCATCCGCAAAGAGCAGGTGGGAAATGACTAACCGTAAATACCTGAATAAACCCAAGGTGCTCCTCCCTCCCCATCAGCTGGCTAAAAGCCTCCATGACAATGATAAACAAGAAAGGGGAAAGAGAGTCCCCTTGCCTCAAGTCACGAGAACTGGCAAAGAAACCAGCTGGGGATCCATTCACTAAAACCGAGAACCGAGCAGTTGATATACATAAAAGAATCCACGCTCTCTACTTCTACCTAAAACCCATTCTCTCCATCAAATACAACAAAAATCCCAACAAACATGATCATAGGCATTTTCGATATCCAGTTTGCACACAATCCCCGGAATACCACTTCTCGCCATTGCGTCAATGCATTCATCAGCAATCAAAATTGAATCCAGAATTTGAGGCCCTCCAACAAAAGCATTCTGGGAGTCTGAGATCACCCCATTGAGAACTCTCCTCAACCGAATGGCTAAGACTTTTGCAATAATCTTTTACACCGCCCCAGCAAGACTAATGGGTATAAAGTCCTTCGCCTCACATGGTCCGCTCTTTTCGCGGACAAGAGTAATGTAGGAAGCATCGAGACTTTTCTCAAAAGAGCCATGCAGAAAAAAAGAATTGATTGCCCCCATCACCTCTGCCTTCACCACCTCTGAATTCTGTTGAAAGAAAGCTAAAGTAAACCCATCTGGACAGGAGCGTTATCCCCATCACAACTCCTCAAAGCCGCCAACACCTCTTCCTCCACGAATGGCATTTCAAGCTAGTCTCTATCACCTTCCGATAATGCAGCCCATCAAGAAGAGGCCTCCAACTCTCAGTCACCTCAAAAAGCTGCTTGTAAAAAGACACGAAGCTATCCTGGATATCATCATCCCTAGAAACCGTAACTCCATTAAACTGCGTTCTCCCAATGTGGTTAAATCTTCTGTGAGCGTTGGCCATTTGGTGAAAAAACTTCGTATTTCAATCACCTTCCTTGAGCCAGAGGGCTCTAGACTTCTGTCTCCAAGAGATCTCCTCCATCACCGCAATCTCTCCAGACTCAACCTTACACTCCTCCCTTCTGCTAATATCCCTGCTACTAAGGCCCACCTCACCCTCCTTTCTATCCAAATCTGAGATTTCTAGGAGGATTCTATTCTTTCGCCACTTGAGATTACCAAACACTTTTTTATTCCATTTCTTGATGTCGTTCTTCAACAACCTTAAAATGGAGGCTAAACGGAAACTCGGACTGCCCCTTACCTTATATCCCATACACCACAACCGAATCCTATCTTTGAAGTCATCAACCTGAAGCCACATATTTTTAAACCGGTATGTGGTCCGAAATAGCACGGGCAAAAGCCATCTGAGAAACATCCGGGAACTTCTCTTCCAAATCTCCCGAAATTAGAAATTTGTCCAACCGTGACAACGTTGGAGAATCCCGTCCACTAGACCACATAAACTGGCCTCCTTCCATCGGATGATCCATGAGATGGTGAGAGTCAATAAAATCTGAAAAGTCCGTCGTGGCAGGAGACCAAGGACCCCCTGTGGATCTCTCACTAGGAGAACGGATGGCATTAACATCACCCCCAACACACCACGGGGCATCCCACCTTGATTTAGCATACCCCAACTCCTCCCACAGAACTCTCCTTTCAACATCCCCTCCTAGCCTATACACACCGGAAAAGACCCATTGTGAGCCATCTTCTTCCAGAGAAAACGACGACGAAATTGAGTGCCGCCCTTTCCACAAGTCAGCTTTTGAGACCCACCTTTTATCCCAAAGCACCACAATACCTCCAGCAGTCCCCTCGGCATCAATCACCTCCCAATCCACTAACCTGCCCCCTCCCACCCCAACAAACTTTTAAGAACCCGATCAGAGGAAGATGCCAGTTTAGACTCCTGCAAACAAACCACATGCACCCCCCATTTTCTTAAGAGAACCTTCCCCACCCTTCTTTTGTTCGGGTCATTCAAACCCCGAACATTCTAGGACACAACTTTGAGCTTCATAAACGCACAATTTCTTTCCCTCCCCCTCCTTCCCCCTCTCCTCCTCTTCCCCCTTCTCTCCACTTCTCCCATCATAATTGACATCGGAAATCAAAGTTCTCTCCCCCCTTCCAGCAAGGACTCTTCGTGGTTTTCACCATTTCCCACTCATCCTCAACAGCTTGAAACATGTTGTGAGTCTACTCTTCCTCCCCACCACATGATAATCCCCGCATCTTACTAGTTCCTCCGATGCACTCCATAAACCACTCCTCATTACTGCCCTCCAAATTAGCAAACCTCTGCCCTTCTCTGATAGCTGCCAATGGAGTATCAATCCCAATAGTTCCCCCATTCTCCCACACTGGTGGTAAAATATCCAATGTAGAAGGACATTCCGCCACAGTCAAAGCATCTAAGACAGAGAGCATAGACCCACCATCCGGCTCCCACTCATCCGAAGTGCTCAAATCTCTGCCCTGATCAGAAACCCCAGTACCCAGCAAATCAGGCTCAACAGAAACTGTCTTCATCCCCTCCCATTGAATCTTCTAGTCAGCTTTTAGCGCTTCAGCTGTGCCTCCATCAATCAACAACTGAGTCCCTCAGCCAACACACAGAACAACGCTCCCATCATCCTTACCTCTTGGGATAAGCTTCAGAGGCCAATCCATATGTTTCACACTGCACGTCTCAGAACATGACGCCCTTACCTGTGACATCTGAAGAAACTGATGCCCCACCATCATCCTCAAGACAACCTTCAAAGCTCACTCCAGTAACTGGGGACAGCCTTTGAACCCCCATGGTCATCCCGCCATCCACCTTTCCATCACCCCTCCTCAACACCCCAAGTAGAAGAGGGAGTAGAGATAGAAAAGAGAATTGGCAAAGGAACAGAACACATACCCGGATTATGAGCTCCACTAGTGGACTTTTCCCACTTTTGTTTCTGCTTCCTGGACCATCTTTGCTCATTCAAGCTAATCTTGGAGTGGCTCGGTCTATGGTTCCGAGAAGCAGAGAGGCCTGCACTGTCGCCTTCACTTCTCTCTCTCTGACTGAGGCACCACCTCAGGATCTCCAAATGAGCCAAATCATTCCCATCAGAACATAACCCATCTTGCAGACTATCAAAGGAATTACATAGCTCCAGCCCAGTTGAAATATTCTTTAAAGGCCCGTGGTGCTGCCTATTGGCCAAAGAATGAAAATTAGGCCTCACTTGAGTATGAGTAGGATGGGCCTTGGGCCTTCTTTCTGGCCCTGCATGTGGCCTAGCAAAGTTGACCCCTTCCCGAGTGGGCTTGTGAGGATTCCAGCCCATGAGGCCCAGCCCAAGTGAAGGGGCCACCCCGCATCCCTTTATAAGAAAGGTCACGTGACCTGCGAATGAAATTCAAATGCCTCTCATCCCTTATCTTATCCGGATAGGCGTAATCCCGTTGTGTGGTTTTATGCCAACCACGTGTCCCCTCTGCTTGGCCTCTAGAATTACGTGCCCCCTCTGTTTGGTCTCTAGAATCACGTGCTCGTGCGTGAAGCACATGTCTTCTTCTACCATGAGCAATCTGCAACTCAGGCGCCAGCAATCCCTTTCCACCCCTTCTCTGCAACCTCAACCATTCCTCTTCCGACAGGACAGTACTCTCATTCAAGGCCCGCCATTGTGGGAACAAGATTAGGAAACCTCTCAACTGCCAAATACACCCTGTAGCAGAGCCGTTCATCATTCACCAGAATCCACTCCTGGACGACTCGACATAAATAATAACCTTGCTCGCATCCTTCCTTTCATCTGCTTCAACCCTCTTGAACCCCCCATAGGTGTTGCCAATCGCTTGAAATAGAGCATACAACCACAGATGCAACGGTAAAGCAAAGACCATCATTTTCTTCTCTTTCTTTTCCTCAAGAATTCCGCACCACCCAACCCGGACCACGCATCGTCGTAACTCAGCATCTCCCCAAGTCCGTTTGCCTTCCCTCAACACCCGTATCGCCTCAGCATGAGAAGGCAATCTGAACAGCAAAAGAGAATCCGGTAGCGGGGAAATTGCCACACCTGCAGAAACCTTCCAAGCGCTCGAAGCCAATCTTCCATTCTCGCACAATCTCCGACATCTCGGTCAAACCTTCCCACCAGAAAACGTTGAATGACATCCCTTTTCCAAATGCTCTGATCATCAAGAAATAAATCTACACCCCTTTTTGACACCGACGTCTCCACAACACCATGCTTTGGGAGATTAGGTATCGTCGTCACCTCAACGTATGATCGGTGGCCAGAACTCATAGATCCAAGTCGCCGTCGTTCAAAGTTAACAACGTATAAGTGAACAAAACTTTGGGATCATAGCTACTTGCTGTTTTACGAATCCTGACATGTATATGAACCTTAGGTGTTATCATCATTAGAAATTCATATACATATAATTATTTATAAAGATGTAGAGCCGTATACCTCTTGGGATTTAGTATAGTCACACACCCACTTTAAAGACCTCTCTTGAATCTCCAAGCACCTTCCTCCTCCTCCTTGGTCTCTAGCTTCTAGAATGTCACCTCTATGACCCTTTCTTGAATTAATGCCAATTGTGATTTGAATATTTACATTGTGTTAAATTTTACAAAATAAAAAGATAATATTTAAAATTGGTACATTTTGTTGTTAGGATCATATGCATAATTGTAAATTTTACAAAATACGAAAGATAATATTTAATACTCGTCTGAACGAGCAACCTTCACAATCTGTTGTGAAGATGCGATGGATGCCTATACAACTAGTTGTCTTTTGAAGATGTTCAATAACTTCAATGAAATATGACTTTGAAGAAACCATGAACTAAGTTTTAAGGATTTTTACTAACTCTCATATAAGTGTGTGCAAAAAACAAACATTGAAACTCGATAAATCGCGTAAAACCCTTAAACCTAAGCATCTATGAAACTTAGTTCCACTTAAACGATTTCGCAAAACCCTTCCAAACCTAATTAGCATGCATTTGTGTATAGTTGTTTAGGGGTATCTAAAAAAAATCTTTAGAGCATCTCTGGACTATAATAACGTTAAGACTTGTAAGATTTTGAAAAAAAATAAAAAATAAAAACTTAAAATCATCTTCGGACCAATTATCTCTGTATTTCTAGGCAAACCTGCAATTATGCTCATTACTTATGTGTAAATTGGGTGGTTTCTAAACTAGTTCCAATGTTCCAAACTTTTTACCTCTTTATTGAAAAATAAATAAATGTCATCATTTTTGCTTTCTAGTAAGTATAACTGATTCGATGAAAAGGTGGAGGTCGAGTGACAGATCCACCCTCTCTAGCATGTGAATCCATTTTTCTGAAAAGATGGATCAAAATTACTTTGAAACAAGCGAGTTGATATCAGGGATCAAGCTTAAGTTTTGCCTAGTAGTTGCATGAAATAGAAGACTGAGAGGGGTGAACTGGTCTTTCTTCTTAGTTGGATGATTTAAAAAAAGGGTCGTTGCCTGGTTTAACAATAAAATGTTTGAGCATCAATGCACTAACATACGTTCAAGCCACATAGAAGCCATTCCTCTCCGCCTCCCCTGCTAAACTAAGGTTTCGTATAGTTCATATAGGATACATGCTTACACGCCTATGTATACATACATACATATATATATATTTGTATATATATACTGTTACACACAAATTTCATTATGTTTGTAATCTGAAATTAATTTTAGATGTGTAATCATGAATCATTTGTACATGTTTCACATAAGATTCCATATACACCATATTATACAATCCCAAATACAAATTTTTGCATGCACATATAAAGTATTTTCATATTTGTTAAACTAATTAAATGCCACATATTACTAGGACATAGAAATCTTTGTAAATCAGTAGAATATCACTTAGCTTAGTCTATAGATCGTTGATTATTATTATTATTTTCATTGGCAAGAAACGCACACACCCATGTTACCCCTTTGGGGACACGATACCTCACCATCTACTTTAAAGGGTAGAGGAGATACCACTAAGCCACAAGACCCTTGGTAGATCGTTGATTAATTGATAAATTAATCTTAGTCTCTCTCTATAGCTTCTTCTTCTTCTTCCAAGGCTGTAGAGAATAGAACATAACCTTAATTATTATTTTCACATACTTGTATATTAATGATATTTTTCCTTTGTTGGTTACTGGGTTACATAATATTTCATTTCTTTTATAGTAGGCATCCTTACTATTATTTTTAATTCATTTATAATTAGATTATCATTTTACAATAATATCCTTGAAATAAATTCTTATTTACTGACAGAGATAACCAGACTGACCATGTCACTTGACAAATCACTGTTTTGGTCACTGAATGTTCCAATACAAAGATTCTTTATCCTTACTGTTTTGGTCACTGAATTTTCTTATACTTGTATATTAATGATATTTTTCCTTTGTTGGTTACTGGGTTACATTATATTTAATTTCTTTTATAGTAGGCATCCTTACTATTATTTTTAATTCATTTATAATTAGATTATCATTTTACATTAATATCCTTAAAACAAATTCTTATTTCCTTCATCAACACATCTACCAGCAAATCAAATTGACAGACATAGATAACCAGACTGACCATGTCACTTGACAAATCACTGTTTTGGTCACTGAATGTTCCAATACAAAGATCCTTTATCCTTACTAGTTTTGATGGCAAATGGATCTTAATGAAAGAAATAATTGACAGAGCTAATTCATGTTGCCTTCACTCTAAAGTTCACATGCATAGTCTCCTCTTGTTTTTTGCAGGCACTTATAAAGATGCCTTTGTTCAAGAAGTTGGAGCTAGCAGGGGTGCTTCCATTGACTGGGATGCGCTGACTGATGATATTCGTAGTTTCTTTAACTGCCGAAGGAATTCTGGTACTTGCAAGTATTATTACAATTTGCTCCAAGATGTAAGTCTCTTCCCTCTTGAATACGTGATGCACGATATAATGCTTGCTTAAGCTTTACGGTTTCCCTTATTTTCGGTTGTTGAAGCATCTTCTGCAGTTTTTATGATATGCTATTTGAACGTGGATGCTTTTTTTATTAATTTTTTTTTTCCGAACGATATTGAACGTGGTTGTTGAATCTTACACTTTAGTTAAAATTCTTTATCTAGATGATTAGGAAGCTTTTCCAAATCTTGCCAAAAAAGGAAAAAAACCTTTTTCAGATCGGTTATGTTATACTTATTCTTAGGGTATGTGTTTTAGCTGATAATCACTTTATTACAAACTGGAACTGTGATGAAAAAACTAAATGATTTTTCTCTTGCACTCCAATACGGAGTTTGTTTTTGGGAAGCTAAAGCTTGAGCAAAGATGAAGTTTCTATTTATTTATTACTATTTATTGTTAAAGCTTTCTATAATTAGAAATTATGGGCGTAGAACCAAGTTCTCCTATCAGCTGAATACACAGATTTCTTATAAATCTATCTTCAATTATTGCCGGTCTTCTCAGTACATAATTGAACAATTGTTGGCTCATCCTAGAGTATAATAGAACAAACATGGAAAATAATAATGGCTATAGCACCATGTCAACATACAGGGTTATTATTTTGATATTTGTAAGTTTCCTACTTTAAAATGTCCACCACATCATTTGTACCATTTTCAGTTGGGCGAAGGGTAGAAATTGTTCATCTTCTGACGATGTTGTTGATTTCTTGGACTCCTTGGGTCCATAGATTCCTGTTTTGTTTGTATACATGGGACGCGTTCCCCTTTTGAACGCTTTTAATGAATTTTTACTTATCAAAAAAAAAAAGGAAAGAAAAAATGTCCACATCATTCAGAAAATTTGTAATCATGTCAGAGTTTAGATGTCACCAAAGAGTCCTAAAAAAGATAAAGAAAACCAAATTATGGATATCCAAACCATTAACGAAATGAAATACCTTTAGAAAATTTGTAATCATATCAGGGTTTAGATGTCACCAAAGAGTCTGGTAAAAAAAGATAAAGAAATCCAAATTATGGATATCCAAATCATTACTAAATAAATAAATAGATCTTATTTTTAGTGTTTTAATTTTAATATTCTCTCTTTCTGTCTCCTATACATTGGTATGTTGTTTCAAAGGCTCTGCATTGTCTCGAAATGAGGTTATTATAAGCATAGCTGCAAAAGATAACATTCCACGTTTCCAGCCTATGGTTGTTATAGGAAGTAGAAATAGGCTAAAATGTTCTACGTTCTTGGATGATGAATGTGATACCCCCCGGATTTCTGAATGCTGGTTGGCCAGGCCCACGCCCGAATACCCGAGGATATCAAAACAAATTGATAATAAACGAACACAGAGTACAAAAGAATAAAGAAGAATAAATAAAATGTTGACAAGAAACTAAAACGATAATCTAATAATAAACCTCAGAATATATTTCCATTAATTAATAAACTCTTCTGATACAACTGATCCTCCAAAATACAATTCGGGAATCCATACTGTGTGGATCCCTAGAAAATCCAAACTAAACAAATGACAGCAATAACTGTTTAAATCAGGAAACTGAATCGTAAAGGAACTCCTATGTAGCATCGGAAGAATGAAGTAGACTGATCCCTGCTCAGCACGAACAACCTCTACTTCTGACGAACACCTGAAAAATAATGGTGGGTCAGGCTCACAAACAAGTTCTACTCTATTACAGTCCAAGCAGAGATCCGATACACGTATACATCCTAGTCAATCCAACAGTAACTAGTAGTCCGTATATATATATATACACACACTAAAGGAACATCACTAGAATATAGGGTTGTCTCAACCTGAATAGTAGGTAACATGCAAAACGCACATATAGTGGGCACGAATACCTAAACCTACCAGGGTACACAACTACACTATATCTAGCTACACATCCCTGGCGATATACGCACCCTAACCATTGATCCTGAGACTCAAGCTCATATCATGGCACCATACTTATATATATATAATCTATTAACCATCTTATCCGGTATAAATTAATCCTCCACAAGTCATTCAACTTGTTCAGCTGACCTGACTTGAATATAAGTAGGACTTAAAATTTTAATTAATCCATTCCCTTATATAATATATTAATCATCCATAAGTCATTCAACTTGTTCAGCTGACTTGACTTGAATATAAGTAGGACTTAACATTTTAGTTAATCCATTCCCTTATATAAAATAGGTAGGACTTAACTGATAAGTTAATCCGTCCCTAGAATGCCACCGTCCCATACCGGTGCATTAAATCACACAATTCAACAATTGATGTAACGATTAAGGAAATACATCAAACAATCCAGAAATAACTATGATAATATGACTTCAAGTTATCACAAAATAGGAATGACTTATTATTTATTTAAGTTTCCTATATCATATGTCCTACATAAACTGAATCTTATACATATGATGATATTTTATTGTACCGTCAAATAAGCATTCTCCATATCCAATTCATCCTACACATTTAATCTCAATTGTTAAAACATATTAAAAGATTAAATTCATTCATTTGTTTAAAACATTCAAATAGCAAGCATCATTATGATTGAGTCTATTTAAATTTATTTAAACCCAAACCTAGTTCCTATTTAATGTTCAGGAATCCTAGGCATGTTTCTACGTTCCATCATTCCACCGATATGAAATTTACATAATTTAAACTTGTAAAAATTCACACCGGAAATCAAATCAAAATCATGCATTTATCAATTCAAAACACAAGAACAGATATGAACCAAATTCATAAAAACCTATGTTCTAATCCAATTAAACATGCATAATTATTTAATTTTATGTGTTTAATAAATCCTGAAATTTCCTAGGCATGTATAGAAACACGAATCAAAGGGAAAGAGATAGAAGAAGAACTTGCCTTAAACTTTCGGATTGAAAGTTAAACTTCTTCTTCCTTGATCTTCTCTCTAAAGGGTTTTCTCCTTCTTCCTTCCTCTTTCTCCTTCTCTCTCTAACTCTCTCTCTCTAGAATATATTACGTGATATATTTTCACTCATTTTTCAACCTATAGTTGTGTATTTATAGACTAAATAATAACCCTATTCCTTGTCCGAATCCAAGTCAACTTAATAAAGAAAAATAAAAATGAAAATATTAAAAAGGTAACTTAAAATATGTTACGTATATAATCTATGTATATCCTTATTAATTAAATAAAATATATACATTAGAATATTTATTAATACTAAAGTTACCATAATATTAAAAGGTAACTTAAAACATGTTACGTATCCTTATTATATAAATATATAAAATATATACATCAGATTATTTATTAATACTAAAGTTACTATAATATTAATAAATTATTTTCCTTTTTATATATATGTATATACATATACATATATATATATATATACACACATAGAACTATCCTTGGGTAATTATCCATACCCATCCAACCTCCTATCCAAGTAGTCCATGGAACCCAATTAATTAGCCCATTACCACTAACCATAACCATAAAATAAAATAAAATAAAATATTTAATCATTTAATTTACAATTAATTACAATTAATCAAATACATCATTTAAGCACACAATCTAATTAAACAAATAATACAAATAACACCTAGACAAAATACAAATAACACATAAATAAGTAGCCAATTAATCAAGTAACACTTAATTCAATTAAACACATAAACAATTAGTCAAATAATCAATTAAACAATTAAAAAAATACAATAAAAATAAATAAATAAATACTGAGACTATCCTTTTAAAATTAGGGGTATTACATTTTTCCCCCCTAACAAAAGGAATTCTGTCCTCGGAATTCGCCCTTACTTCCTTTCATTATTCTTCCATTATGCTTGGAAACTGTGAGCGAAAAATATCCTCCTATTCCCAAATAGACGCAACCTCACTATAAGGGGTCCACTTAACTCCAATATACCAAGTGGTAGGCAGGGTTCCTATATTTTAAGAAACACAATAATCATACGATGTGTAGGTTGTATCAAATAACAACGTAATCCTCCCATGTCGACAAGGGAATGATCTACATACCTCCAAGTGCCATAGAATATACGCACAAACTCCTATTCACCCAGCGCTAATAATTTGGTAACGCTAATTCAGAGGCGACTGCCTCAATTGCGAAACACAATCTTCTAAAAGTCAATGTAATAAGTAAAATTTACCTTTCTCCAAAAATCGCCTTCTTCCTACATAGAAAACAGAACGAGCAAACTACTCCCTGATAGAAAAACTCTAGTATACGAGTTCAACTATTTACAACATCCTACTGTTGCCTCCCAACCGCGCGTAGTTCAATACAAAGGGAAGTATCTCTTTCCGACATATTTTAAATGAAGTCAAGGTCTGATTGTACAACCCATACTTCCATTTCCAACCAACAAATGAGAGGTATGCATTGTGAAAGATACAAAACCTCCAAAGTTGTCACACTAACCTCCTTGTGCCAACAATATCACAGATAAAATTCCGACAAGTGAAGTAAACACTTCCAACTGTCCATGAAAATCTAGGATATACACCTCAAACATATCCTTTATGGTCTAATTTAATCTCTCGATTAATTCCTCCGTCTATAGATATGAAGTAGAGCTGCTGCTCCAAAATCTTCATAAAGCTCCTTCGAAATAGCACTTTGCATCCACTAATATAGACATCCACATGCTATAACACCACTATCACTGAACTATAGAACTACTATGAAGTTCTAAAATAAGTATCACTCAAATTTATGTCTTCAAGCGATCTTTCTCAATCCACCACTCAGATTCCATATGGAAAATTGAAATTCCAAATCAATGTCGATCCTTCCCATCGATCGTCACTCCTATTTAATTCAACTTCCATATTTGTTATAGGAAGTGGCTAAAGATTCCTACGATATCCGATGATCAACTTTCCACCTTTGTAGCAGGTTTTACGCTT